TTTTTTTATTTAAAAATAATTGGTGTTTTTAAAATTTTACACTAAATTAAAAAATTTATGAATAATTTATATATTTATAAATATATTATCAATTAATTTTAATCATTTAATTCAATTAATTAATTCAACTCAACTTAAATTGTCCAGGCCAACCCAATTCCTTGCCCAATCTTCCCATACCCAATTCAATATAATAAGTAAACTGCAAATCAGCTCCGCGGCTAATTGCCAATTGCAGATTGCAGTTTATGACTTCTTCTTCTTCTTTTTTTCTATGAACATGCTGCTGGAGCTGGAGAGCTAGACATGCATGGCAGTATATATTTGCTTGGTATAACTGGACATTGCTATGTTGGACTGTATTTGTAATGTATTTATTTGTTTAAGTTGTTTTAAATTTTTATTTTTTTTAATTTATAAAAAAAATGTTAAAATTTATATATTTGATATTTGACAAGAATTCTATATACTTATAGGGACCCATTATTTTCCACAAATATAAAAATAAAGATTATTTTTGACACTCATAAAAAATCTCTGCGAGGATTCCTGTATCAATCTTTAACAAGAATAGAGATGTGAAAGGGATTCCACCCTCATAAAAATCTGTTGTCGTCCTTAGTGATTATTTCCACCATTAATATAGAGATAATTTGGATCATTAAATCAAAAGAAAGAGTTTGTGCCTTAATTTGTGGTGTGCGTTTGTGGTGTGGCATGATTATTCCCACCATCAATATTGTTAAGACTTTAAATTTTAATTTTTGAAAATAATATTTAAAAATATTAATTTTTAATTAATTTTAATCTATTAATTAATAAATATTAATTATTTTATTTTTTAAAATTAAAATGATATTTATTAATTATTTTGATCAATAAAATTAATACATTTAAAAGTAATATTTTATAATTTTAATAATCATAATATTATTAGGGATTTTTCTAAGTTATATTCTAAAAATACAAGTTAAAAATACATTAATTGTTATTAAAATAAAATTAAACATTTATTTAATCAATCATTCAATTAAAACAATATAGGTGGCATTAATGATAAAATCAACGTCAATTTTTATTATTTCCTATACTAATTAATATAAAAAAGATATA